TCTCCAGTCTCCACGACTCGACTTCAAGTCTTCAACCGACGAGCCTACGCGCAGTCCGACAGGCTGACTTCAGCCGACCGCCTCCGCCGCCCTCCGGCCTCCCTCAGACGCCCTCCTTCCGGTCAGTTACTAATTTGCTAATTCTTTTATTCATTTAGTTGCTAATTTGCTAATTCTTGTGAACTTTCAATTTATTGAATATTTGAATTGATGAATTGTTTGTTGAAATCTTTTAATTTGTTTATTTTCAGATTTAATGTTTGTTGAATTGTTGTGTTGTTGTTATTTGTTGATTTTTTTCATTTAAAGTAAATCATTATTTGAATTGATAATAAATGTGTGATTTTGTAAATGTGTTTAGCAATTAAAACTGATAACTTCAGGTTGATAAATTATAATTATACACTAGTATAGTCATTCATGCTTTCACCCTAATTTTAAACTTAATATTAATTTAAAATTTATAAACATGTACAGGATTATAGGAGAATTTCAATAATTGGTAATAATTATGTTTCCATATAAATACCAATCCGGTCATGAAAAGCGTAAAAGGAAAAGAAGACTTGAGGAGTTAACCCAATCTCAAACAGGAGCTCTTGATAAGTTTATTATTAAAGAAGTTAGAGATGTTCAAGAGGGTGAACAACAAGAAGTGAATGTTGAAAATAATGTTGAAATACCTGATCAATGTGTTAATGAAATGGCTGAGAATTCTGATAAAGAGGACCACAGAATTGATGTTTTAGATGATAGGCCAAATAATTCTGCTTTATTTGACATATATGATCCAAGAAACTGGGATGCTCTAGATTCAAAGTTGACAGACACTTTGGTAGAGAATGGTCCTAAAACAGATTTAAATTTTGTGGAAGGGCCTAAAGATAAATTCTCTAGAAGATTCTCATCAGCTTTTTACACTAGAAGTTTGCCTAATGGAGAGAAATGTGATAGAGACTGGCTTGTTTATTCAAAGGAGCTTGATAGGGTATTTTGCTTCTGTTGTAAGATTTTTAGAAAAGGTGTAGGAAAAGGTTCTTTAGCTAACACAGGTTTTGATGATTGGGGACATCTTAGTGCTAGACTGAGAGAACATGAAACGGGTGTGGAGCATATGGGTAACATGAGGAGTTGGGTAGAGTTGAGGCTTCGATTACAAAAAAATGAGACAATTGATAAAGTAGCTCATGATCAACTTTTGAAAGAAAAAGAGTTTTGGAGGCAATTGTTGTTTAGGGTGATTGCAACTGTGAAATATCTTGCTAAGCATAATTTGGCCTTTCGTGGAACGAATGAGCGGCTCCATCAGAATCATAATGGGAATTTTTTAGGATTAATTGAGATGCTGGGTGAATTTGATCCTGTTATTCAAGAACTTATTCGTCGCGTCGACAATAAGGATACTCATCATCATTATCTTAATCATAAGATTCAAAATGAATTGATAGAGATGCTTGCTTCAGGAGTAAAATCTAAGATCATTAAAACAATCAAAGAATCTAAATATTTTTCTGTCATACTTGATTGTACTCCTGATTCGAGTCACCAAGAACAAATGACTTTGATATTAAGATGTGTTGATATCTCCTCTTATCCGATTAAAATAGAAGAATTTTTCTTGGAATTCTTGGTTGTGAATGACACGACAAGATTTGGCCTTTTTGAAGTGTTGCAAAGTGTGTTAAAGTCTCTTGATCTTGATATTGATAATGTTAGAGGACAAGGATATGATAATGGATCAAACATGAGAGGTACGCATCAAGGTGTGCAAAAAAGACTCTTGGATGTAAATCCTAGGACATTCTATACTCCTTGCGGTAGTCATAGCCTTAATTTGACCTTGTGTGACATTGCTAATTGTTCTCGAAAAGCAAGAGATTTTTTTGGAGTAGTGCAACGAATCTACACACTCTTTGCTAATTCTACAAAAAGATGGCAAAATTTAAAAAACAATGTCCAAGGATTGACTCTAAAATCCTTATCAACCACTCGGTGGGAAAGTCGTGTGGAAAGTGTCAAAGCAATAAGATTTCAAATCAATGACATTTGAGAAGCATTGCTAGAATTGGCCGAGACAGACAATGATTCTAAAATACAAAGTGAAGCTAGATCCTTAGCTACAAATGATCTTTGTAATTTTGAATTTTTGCTTGCTACAGTTATTTGGTATGAAATATTATATGCTGTTAATTTGGTGAGCAAAAATCTACAAGCAAAAGATATGCTTCTTGATGTTGCTATTGTTGAAGTCAAAGGGCTAATTTCTTTTTTTGAGAAGTATAGAGAAACTGGTTTTTCTAGTGCTATGCATGTGGCTAAAGAAATAGCCAGTGAATTGGAAGTTGAACCAGTGTTTCCTCAGAAGCGTGTAATTCGCAGAAAAAAACAATTTGATGAGAGTGTTGGTGAATCTTCTGTATCATCCACATCAACACCAGAAGAGCTGTTCGGAGTGGAATACTTTGTCTACATAGTTGATCAATCTATTGGCTCATTGACACGGAGGTTTGAGCAATACAAAGTATATGAAAATATGTTTGGGTTTTTGTTCAATTCTGAGAAGTTACAATCTCTTACGGATTTAGATTTGGAGTCATCTTGCACTCATTTACAAACAGTACTGCAGAGGGATGGGCAATGCAACGATGTTGATGACCACGATTTGTATATTGAACTGAAGTTGCTTAGAGAGATTTTGCCAAAGGAAAAGATAGGGGCAACAAGAATTTTGAATTCTTTAAAAGAAATGAATTGTTTTCCAAATGCCTTTATTGCGTACAGAGTTTTGCTAACCATTCCGATTACAGTGGCCTCGGCAGAACGAAGTTTTTCCAAGTTGAAGTTGTTGAAGTCCTACTTGCGGTCAACTATGTCACAAGAGAGACTCAATGGATTGGCGTTGATATCCATATAATCTGAAACACTCGAAGAGATTGACATTGCAAGTTTGGTAGATGACTTCGCATCTAAATATGCTCGAAGAATGTCTCTTTTTAAATAAACGGTAAGTTATTGATGACTTTTTTCATTTTAATTATTACGTTTATTAGTAACTTGTATTGTAAGACAATTTGCTTGCGTTTAAACTTGAAAAAAGGCTCAAATTTTATTGTTGCACAGGGTCTCCGTTTTCTCGGGACCGGCCCTGGTTGACATGAATGACAGAGCAATTTTTATTACTGTGAACATGTTCTCATTGGTGATGTTCTTAATAACAGCGAATGAGATAACAAAAACAACTATAAATGTTAGGCACTTAGGCCCGTTTGTTATGATGTAAAGTAAACATTTTACATGCAAAGTGTGAGTATGTAAAATTTTTACATTATTTGTTTTAATTATTACAATGTAATAATTATTTAATGATTACATTTTAAAAAACATTTTACACTGTACATGTAAAATAGTTTACGTGGGAAGGTAATAAACTAGTTTACATTCATTATTATGAAAAATAAATGCATGTATCCAATTACGATTTCCACCTACCATTTAAGCACCTGCCAAATCAAATCAATTACGATTTCTAACCTAGATTGGAGTTTGGTGGCAACTGGCAAGTAGAATTCTGGATCTAATAATCTTTTCTTCTTCTTTTTTTACAAGAAGAAACAATTGTATTACAATGAGTTTAACCGTGTAACTGGCAAAATCGGAAAAAGGTTTGCGGCCATAGCTCAAGATAATACAAAGTTCTTCTTAAGTAATTTTAAAAAAACTACGTTCTAAATGGTTTCTCCAAAACGTCCCAGGCCAATAAAGCATAACATGGGTAGGGCAAGGAGAAGACCACTGACCATCCAAATTCCCATTAGAAAGCTTAGTTGTCATTACTCGCACTTTATGGAGCGGTAGATATGCCGGCCAAAAAAAGAGGGAAGCACGGTGTAGATATGAAGTTGTAAATAGTTTGCGTGTAATTTAAAAAAAAATAGATAGCCAAACGATATATTTTTATTTTACCTGCAACCCTACACTTTAGATGCAATCATTTCACATGAAAAATGTAATGTGAGGACTACAAACAGGTTCTTACTTTGAAGGGATAAGCGTCAGATAGGGTCTCAGACTTACAAAAAAAATTCAAATAAGGTCATATATAGAATGCTCTGTACGCCCGACGCCATTTGGGGTGGTTCCCAGTTAAATTTTTCGATGAAATATTTTGAACATCTTATTGAATAAGTCTAGTTTACTCATATCAAATTTGAACAAAAAATCAATCGGGAAAGCATTCAAATGAATTCTTGAAAATAACTGCGCAGTTAAAAGCGCATTTATCTTCAAGAATTTATTTTGATGCCTTCTCGGTTGAATTTTTAGTTCAAATTTGGTATGACTAAACTAGCCTTAATGAATAAGATTCTAAAAAAAAAATCATCAAAAATTCCATCGGGAACTGCCCCAAATGACGTCGGCCGGACAGATCATCTTATATAAGACCTTATTTGACATTTTTCGTAAGTTCGAAGCCTTATCTGACCCTTATCCCTACTTTGAAACATGCACATTACACATTTACACATGCTTTGAATAAGGGTGGAGACACTAGTTACATAATTCAAGTAGTGAACACAAGTCATATTCATCTCTTGTCGAGGAATACTACTCCCTTCGTTCTAAAAAATTTGACCAAATTTCTTTTTGGGTTCATCCCAAAAAAATTATCATTTCCACTTACAAAGTAAAAAATATGCGGCTAAAATTATTTCTTTCTCCTCTGCATAAATTTCAACTACACAGATTTTACTTTATTGTTGTGCAATTCAACTTTGGTCAAATTTTATGGGATGGAAGGAGTTATATTTTCCCTTATTCATATTCTCCCTCCGTCCCTGTATAAAAGTATCCATTCGTTTTCCACACATTTTAAGAAAGTGGGTTTAATTGGTACTGTTTGGCACTGTTTGACATTGTTTGGCACTGTTTGACACTGTTTTGCACTATTTTGCACTGTTTTGTTTGCCAAAAATAGAAAGGGAACTTTTATTTAAGGACGGCCCGAAAAGGAAACAGATGCTTTTATTTAGGTACGGAGGGAGTATGTACAACACTATTCCCATATACTATCCTCCGTTCCATAAAAGTTGCAACAATTTGACTTTCACGTTTGCCAACGCGCAACTTTGACTGTAATTATATTTATTTACGTATTAGTAAACATTAAAAAAAGTTAATATATTGGAAATTTACACTAATACAAATTTATTAATATTTTATACATAATAGTTTTATTATATATATTATTAGAAAATCGTAGTCAAAGTAAGGTGTGTGAATAGTGCAGAAATTCCAATGTTGCAACTTTTATGGAACGGAGGAAGTATGTCAATTCTATTGTCGTTGGTGGGCCCCGAACGTAACAACAGAAGACATGCTTGCTTTACCATGAGATTAAATACACAATCGATATTTAGGCACAACCATCAAGTGACTGGCACGAGTTAGCACAAGACCAAACTCCTCGGTCATGTCTAATTCTTCAGCTGGTGACATACTCTTTGAAAGTTCCCAATCAAAGCAATGCACTAATTGTGCCACCACTAACCTGACCACAGTGATTCCAAGTTGCAAGCCAGGACACATTCTTCTTCCAGAACCAAAAGGAATGAGTTCATAATGTTGTCCTTTGTAGTCTATATTCAGACCTTCAAATCTTTCTGGGATGAATTTCTCGGGATCGGGCCATACGTTTGGGTCACGCCCAATCGCCCAAACATTCACCATGATTCGTGCTCCTTTTGGTATGTGAAAACCATCAACCACACAGTCTTCCCTTGCCTCATGAGGGAGAAGAAGTGGTGCCACAGGATGGAGTCTGAGGGATTCTTTGATGACCATTTCTAAGTATTTCAAATTTTCTAAATCTGATTCATCCACCATCCTATCTAGTCCCACTTTGCTTTCTAGTTCTTGTTGGACTTTCTTCATAACTTGTGGGTGTTTTATGATTTCACATACCGTCCATTCAATTACAGTCGCTGAAGTGTCCATAGATGTTACAAACATATCCTACACATACAAAGTAAATATATAGCTAGAACAAGATATACGATATTTACAAAAAAAAAAATTGACATTCGATCATATATATGACATGATTTGGCACGTATAAAAGGAAACTTCATTCATTCCAAAGTAAAAAGTTAAATTCTCTACTTAGATTGATTGTCCATGTTTGACGTCAACAAAGATAGATAAGTAGGACTTATGGAGTAATAATATAAAATATACTCCCTCCGTCCCTGAAAATACTTCCAATTTTCCCTTTTCGTCCGTCCCATAAAGAACTTCTCTTTCCCTTTTATGACAAAGAATTTGTGTTTCACATCAATTCTTACACATTTCTCTCTCTTCTCCACAACTCTCCACCACACAAAACTCACTTTCTTAATCAGTGTGCCATTTGTACTACGGAAGTAAATTATGGGACGGGGGAGTACTATACATGATGATACCAAATCAAGTTTAAACATTCCAAAGCTATATTATACAATATGTTATTACTCCGTACTACTACCTCCGTCCCAAATTAATTTGCAAATTTGACTTTTCTTCGTCAAACAGTTTAATTTTATTCGCTTAATTAGAATGTCAAATTTTAATTATATTCTATATTGGAGTTTACAACTTTGAAGATATTTTAATGTAGTTTCTAAATATGTAAATTTTAATTATTAAAAATTGGATTAATTATCGATAGGGGGGATTGACTTTTATTATAGGTTGACAAAAAAATGTTGACTTTGCAAAATAATTTGGGACGGAGGGAGTATATTACATTTCGAATATTAATATTAAATATTATTACTTGCATTAATATGATAAGAATGGTTGTTATTTTAATGATAACAATAATAGTAATAATAATTAATATCACAGAGTATTATTATTGTTACTACTATTATATTTATTGTGTTTTACCTAAGGGTGATTCTTGACCCAATTGTACAAGGCCTCTAAATTTAGATGGCTCAATTTTAAAAAAGTTTTTTAAAAAATTATTGAAATAAGATTTATTGATAAAAATGTGATTAAATTTACTATTGGTATTAGGTCATGAACACTTAAGAGTAAAAATTGAACATAAAAATAAGGAACACTTAAAAGTTATTAAGATAATCACTACATTTAAGACGTCACATTTGTATTCATTACATTAAAGTACTATGTTTCTTTTTTTGGCTTTTCCTTTAATTCGTTTGGTAAGGATTGTATGTTGTTTTTCTGCTGGGTTTGTTTTACTCAAGGTGACTTGATTATTGTTTTACTATTTATCTTTCTGGGTCAGAGTCAAGAGGGGACAAACGATAAGAAATCTAGATCGATAGTTATTCGCTTACAATTGTCCAAACGTGGATTAGGGAATCAAGTGACTTCTTTTGAGGTGATTGATTCTAGAACTATGATTTCTGATCTTTGTAGCTTGTGTGTTTTCTTCAAATCGGTTGTTATTTGTGATTTTGCTCATTTTCTAATATAAGTCGATTTTTTTCACCAAAAAAAAGATTCGAGACTCTATTTAGAATGAAGCCAAATTTGATAGTGAAGAAATAAATCAGTACCAGCAAAATAGATTTGACATGTTGACGACTGAAGTGGAAGTCAGTTTCCCCAGATTTCGAGATAGACAAGAAAATGTCAACAAAATCCTTGGTCCTCTTCTCATCGCCACTCTCCCCCTTCAGCTGCTCATGGTCATCAAGAATCCTCTCCAGGAACGTATCAAAGACTCCGGCGGTGGCTTTCAATCTTCTCGTGAAGCCTTGCAGGTCGAGCCAGCCCAGATATGGCGGAAAGAAATCCGCAAGATTCGGCCGAGCAAATAGCTCCATAGTCTCTTTAACCGCCACCTTCAATCCCCTCTCATCAATGTCCTTGAACTCGTACTTCTTCCCGAACACCGTCCTACAGCTCATGTCGGCCGCCAGGGCCGCGACCCGGGCACTCAGATCCACCTCCGCCGCCGCCGATTTGAGCGATTGAACGAGAAGGCACATCTCCTCTGTTCTGACAGATTGAAAAGATTTGATCTTGTGACTGCTGAGCAACTCCAAGGTGCAGATTTTTCGGATGGCGCGCCAGTAAGGGCCGTACTGGCCGAAGGTCAGGTTGATTTGGCCGTAATTGATGTGGTTGGAGGCCTGGTGGGGTGGCCGGCCGGCGAAGAGCAGGTCATGAGTGTTGAGGAAGAGGTGTGCGGCCGGCGGGGAGGAAACGACGACGTGTTCGATAAACCCGAACCGCAAACGCATTATGGGGCCGTGCAATTTGGCAAGCTTGCTTAAATCACGGTGCGGGTTTTTACCGAGCAAGTGAAGGTGTCCCAGGATGGGAAGAGCTCTTGGACCTGGTGCCAGTTTCTTCTTTTTCTTCACTGCGCTATGTACTTGGAGGAATAGAGATGCCGCCGCCGCCGCCGCAAACAAAGCAATCGTTGTCCAGACCCACGCCATTTCCTCCTCCTATCTCTCCCTTCTGTTTTTTATTACTCCGTATGTTTTTTATAAAGTACTCCGTGGTATAGTCTATCTATCCCCATATCAAGAAAAAATATCTAGGAAAACTCAATGTTAAATTGATGTGAGGTATAATCTTTATTTTTTTATATCGTACTTTCCGTTCCTATTATATCTTCCAACTTTCTTTTTTCTTCCATTTCAATTAAACTTTCACTTTCTCTTTTTGATAAAGGATTTGTGATTCACAACATTTCTTACACATTTCTCTCTGCAATGCACAACTCTCCACCACACAATATTTACTTTTCTTAAATTGTGTGCCAAAGTGAAATGGAAGATATGGACGGAGGAAGTAACTTTTTATTACTTTATATTTATCAATGTAAGATTTCAAGAGTGATGGAGAGAGTCACATTAACAATAAGATAAGAGGGTGTTACACATAAACCAACAAAAAATGATTTATGTGATTGATATTGATAAAATAAAAATAAAGTACAAATAATATACTAAATTTGATATGGAACTATTTTAATGAACGAACAAAAAAGGAAAAATAAAACAATATTAGAGAGACCGAGTAATACTTACTCCCTTCAGTCCCAAATGAAATTCACACTTCCTTTTTGGGTAAGTCCAAATTAAACTTCACACTTATTCTCCTTTACTTATTTGGTAAATTATCTACATCAGAACAATGTCAAACAGTGTCAAACAGTATCAAACATATTTGGTAAATTATGTACTCTGTAGTAAAGTAAAATTTATTTCTTTAATTTGTGTGAAGTCAAAGTCTGAATTTGGTTTAGAACCCGAGAGTATTACTTAGCTTTGGATACATGCATGTTCAAAATGTCAATTCCCACTTGCCGATTTACTTCTTTGGTGAAACAAGAGAAACATCACGTACTCTCTCAATCAGAGTCGGCCATATAGGCATTAGCTTAGGCAATAGTCTAGGACACCATTTTCAAAGGGCACCATTATTTAATAAAAAACCAACTATTATATATTTCTTCCATCCTTTATATCTTTGTCAATTTTTCCTTTTTTGTTGTCCCAAAAACTTTGTCACTTTTCTTTTTAATCAATCAATTTGTGACTCCTCTTATTTCTCTCTCCTCTGCACAAATCTCTACCACATAGTTTTTACTTTATTATTCTACGTGTCGGTCAAACTTGGCATCCTTTTAGAGACGGAGGGAGTATATATAAATAATACTTCATATTAATAGCCTAGGACACCACTTTCAAAGGGCCACCATCAGTGGCGGACCCACTAAGGGTCCCACGGGTCCCGGGACCCCGCGTACTTCCAAAAAAAATATCTATATATTTTACTTAAAATTTACTTATAACTGTATATATATAACACAAAAACAAGTATGAATCCCAAAGAATGGAGCAGAGCAATGAAGGAAAGGCTTTAAAAACATTTCTTTTACCTGGAGGTGCAAGGATTGATTCCCTCTCACTCCTATTCCTCTTTTTTTTGTTTATTTTGGTTTATTATTGTAAAAGATTACAACTACATCCTTTTGCCTTTTTTAAAAATCCTCAACTTTTCACTTTACATAATTCAATTAATTATTAAAATTTCTATTGTGATTTTCCATTATTAAGTGAAGAATTGAATAAAATAATTGGTGAATATGAAATTAATTTGGCTGACAATACACATGATCAACATGTTTATTTTGAATCTTTAGAAGCTTATCCTGGTTTGAGAAAACAAATTGTTGATTTACATCCTAATGTTCAAGACGAGGTGCGCCACAGTAGGGACTATGAAACGTTGTACTACTTTAATATTTGGAATTTTATCAATTCAAAACTTGAAAGATAAATGAATTATCAATCCGAGACCTCAAAGAATAAATTTATAGATATAAAACTCAAATGATTAAAATTGTCAATTCAGGACTTGAATGATTGATGACTATCGATCTCGGATCTATATTGTCATGAATTTTTATGTTAAAATTTTTAAATATTACTAGTATTTAGTTTTATTAAACTAATAAACTTTTGTGGAAAAAAGTTTGTCAAAAATTAGCAAAGGAATTAATAAAAAATAAATAAATCAAAATCTATGAAATCTTAGATCATAGATTGATAATTTTCATCTTTCGGGGTCCTATATTAATACATTTCATCTTTCGGGTACCGAATTTATAATTTATCTATCTTTAAGGTCCTGAATTGACAAAATTTCTTAATATTTTGATGATGTACATTAACTATGAAATGTTATGCTACTTTAATATTATATACTTACATTTTTTTTAAATTTTTATTGGTTAGAGTTACATTAAGATAGGGACCCCGTGACTCCAATTTTCTGGGTCCGCCACTGGGCACCATTGTTTAATAAAAAACCAACTACTACCTCTGTCCCATTGGATGGTTCTCGTCCACTATTCATATGGTCATCTTAAATCATTTTTAATTTTTTGCTTTATATATCAATTTTATCACATTTACATTTTTTATCATGCTTTAATTTGTAGCGGTTTTAATGTAATTTCTTAATATGTTAATTTTATTTACTAAAAATAATCATAGGGTGAACAAAGATTAAGTTGCTTTATCGTCAGTCAAACATCGTAAACCGTTACGGGAACCTTCTAGCGGAACGGAGGGAGTATTATATATATTCATATATAAATACGTTAATACTTCGTATATATGACTAATCGACCATCCAAATCCAATAGACTTTGCGCCGCTGCGACCAGCGGGTAAGGAAGAGTCAAAGCTGCAAAATAATTAAATAAAGTTGGATAAAGATACTATGACAAGCCTGACCAAATGGCTCGATAGAAAATTAGGATATCGCCCAAGGAAGATGAGTGAAGTCTTGCTCCCAATGATTCTCTCTACTTTCACGGAGTTGTTCAGCGGCTGAGAAGGGAGAGGATGATAATAAAGGTAGCGAGTTCGTGTGGTGGGAGGAGCAGCCTGAAAGGTGATGTAAGTCCTGCTGGATTCGTCCTTTGAAGTCAGTACTGACGAGGCTGACTGTGATCAGATCTGGACTTAACTGTATAGGGGCTTTGGAGGGTAGTTCATAGACTCCAGGATTATGGGAGCGTAAGTTCCGACACCTGGATTATCAAAAAAAAAATAGGATATCTCTAGTCTATTACCGGCCTAAGGAAGAGTCACATTCTAGAGGAATGTGAGATTGTCCCTCAATACACCATGTTGGGTTCACTTAGCATGAATGGTGTAGCTGAGAGACGTAACAGAACCCTTAAAGAAATGGTAAGAAGTATGATTTCTCATTCTATCTTGTCAGAATCCCTCCGGGCTGAGGCATTAAAGACCGCAACTTACATTCTTAATCGAGTGGCAACTAAGGCAACTACTAAAACACCTTATGAGCTTTGGACGGGTAAAAAGCCTAGTTTAAAGCATTTTCATATTTCGGATTGTCCAGCTGAGGCAAAGCCATATAGACCACATGAAAAGAAACTGGAAACCAAAACATTTAGTAGTTATTTTATGAGTTACTCGGATAAAAATATTTTTGAAACGGGAACTGCCATATTTTTTGAGGATGTTGAGTTTGTAGAAAAGAATGAAGTTAGAGGTATTGTTTTTTAGGAAGAATTGATTTCAATACCTGAACCAATTCAAATGAATGTTTCTTTTGAAGCTAATGAGGAACCTCAAGACATTATCACATCTTCTCCTGTCCAAACTGAACACATTGTTCACAATGAACAAACTCAACTTCCTCTAGAAAATGTGACATTGCGGCTATCCACTAGAGAAATGAGATATGCAATTCCAAATGATTGTGTTGTATATCTCCAAAACATGTGTCAAGCATGGATACATCCTTTTGTTTATTCAAGAACATGAGGAAGAAAATGGTGTTATGGAAGATGATCCGTTCAACTTTCGTTAAGCCATGAAAAGTTCAAATTCAATTCTCAAAAGTGGATTGTGGCAATGAATGAGGAGTATAAATATATGCAAGACAATAAAGCTCGTCATGTAGCTAAAGGTTAAACTCAAAAAGAAGGAATTGATTATAAAGAGACCTTTTTTCCGGTTTCATCAAAGGACTCTTTTCGAATCATTATGGCTTTAGTTGCATATTTTAATTTAGAGCTTCATCAGATGGATGTTAAGACAACGTTTCTCAATGGTGACATTGATGAAACTATTTATATGGTGCAACCAGAATTTTTTTTGATAAGAGATCCAAAACAAATGGTTTGCAAATTAACAAAATCCATCTATGGGCTAAAACAGGCTTCTCGTCAATTGTATCACAAATTTCATCAAGTCATTTTATCCTTCGGTTTCAAGATGAATGATGTTGATGATTGTGTATATTAAAGTTCAATGGGAGTAAAATATTTTTCCTAGTCTTATATGTCGATGACATTCTTCTTGCCACCAATGACATAGGCATGTTGCATGAAACCAAGAGATTTCTATCAAAATATTTTGAAATGACAGATCTTGTTGAAGCCTCCTTTGTATTAGGAATTGAAATCCTTCGTGAGAGATCACAAGGATTCTTAAGGTTATCACAAAGGAACTATGTCCATAAGGTCCTTAAAAGATTTGGCATGGAAGATTGTAGACTGGGTGATACCCGTATGTCTAAAGGAGACAAGTTTAGTCTCGATCAATGTCCTAAAACAAATATGGAAATTCAAGAAATGAAAAAGATTCCCTACACATCTGTTGTAGGAAGTCTTATGTATGTCCAAGTTTGTGTACATTGTTGGGATGTTAGGCAGATATCTCAGTAATCCAGGAATGGCTCATTGGGTAATAGCCAAAAGAGTTATGAGATACTTGAAGAGAACAAGAGATTATATGCTTACATATAGAAAATCAGATCATTTGGAGGTCGTTGGATACTCTGACTTTGATTTTGCTAGCTGCAAAGACACTAGTAGATCCAGTTCAGGTTATGTTTATCTTCTAGCGTGTGGTGTTGTATCTTGGAAACGTGTTAAGCAAGATATGATAGCTACCTTAACTATGGAAGCAGAGTTGTTAGCTTGTTTTGAAGCTTCATACCATGAAATATAGATGCAGAATTTTATTGATGAGCTCAAAATATT